GCCGCGGGCGGCCAATCCGGGCGGGCGTCCGGGGAGGGGCGGGGCTTGCCGGCTCCGGCTCCGCGCGTCCTCCTTTTTGCACACACACGAATACAAAGCGCCATACGACCTTCGGGTATCCTTTTTCCATTTTTTTTCCCTCCTTAATCTTGTGTGTGTTTTCAAAATTTTTAAAAATAGAGATCTGTGGCAGTGCTGGGGTGAGGAAACTGTTGCTGAGGAGAATTTGCTCTTTCCCCCATTTCTTTTTCTGTCTCTCTTCCTCTTTCTTTTTCCTGGTCAAGGTTTTAAATATACCAAGAAGTTGAGACGCAGGACGGTCGTGTACAACCCTTTCCAGCCAAATTTGTAGTGATTTTTTTTTTTGTTGTTAACACATTTTAAGAACTGGTAAATTTTTATGGTTGAGGGATTTTTAAAAAATGTAGCCGCTTGGGAAGGATAGATTTTTTTTTTTTTTTTCCTTAAAGCGGGCTGAAGGGATAATGTAAATTTCTGCCACAGGCAACGTCGAAGGAAGCAGAGAGATTTGAGGCTCCCTCACAAAGCCGTTTGTGTGCGTTTTACACACCCTCCCCCAGAACCAAAACCAAGTGGCTGGGATGTGGCAATTGTCCAAGGCCAATAGGTTAAAAATACTGGTATATTATAATTGAGACACTCATTTCCCTAGGGAGGAGGAAAAGCCCTTCTTATAGTGTGTCTTGCACACACGTTTTCATTAGATATTTGTGTGTGTGTGTGTGTGTGTTTCTTGAAGCAAATAATTTCGTAAAGATTTATCTTGGGGGTTTTCTTTGTGTATATGTACAATGTGTATATGTGCCACATCAGATTTTATTTTCAAAAGTAATTACCTTTGGGTTTGTGTGTGCAGAGTAGCCCCTGGGATGTGCATTTTTTTTCTGTTGTCTTCCCAAATGTGATCAAGACAGGATTTCGTGTGCAAAGTAAAGCTTGGAAGAAATCCTATGCTCAGTATACTTAGGCACTTTCTTTTTATGTGTAGTTCCTGTATTTTTCTACTCCTCTTCTAAAGGATCAGATTCGTGAATAATTAAATAATTGCCAAGGAGTATATAATCCACATAGCAAATGAGAGTGGGCAATTTTTTTGAATCTGTGGTTCAAAGCCTTCTTTAGTGACTGTTTTGCCTAAGTGGTTTTGCTTTTTATTGTCTCACGTTCTTAAATGTACAGCTGTGTGTATTTTGGCCTTTATGTGTGGTTTGGTTGGTGTGTTCAGAAGGGAAGTTCTCTCTTGGCTTTTTGACAAAATGGTCGTTTATTGGTTGGGATTTGTTTGAAAAGCCCCACAGCTGGCAGAGTATCAGGGAAAAAAATCCAGTCAAATCCAATTCTCAAAAACGGTTCATGGTGGTGGAGATGGGGGGTGGGGAGAGCAAGAGGAGGCAAAGACAGATAATAGGAATGACAAGAGAGACATTTCGGTGATCATTTTGCATTTTTAGAATGAAGAACCTTCTCCCCGTCACAGGGGAAAATGTATGAATTAGAGGACAACAGACTCTAGCAAAGCCCTGTTCTCACTGCCTGCTGTTACAGAGCCCCTGTGTGCTCATTAGGAGTCCTAAGGAAAAATACCAGTATGGAATCTATTCGCAGACTGTAGTGAAAGGGTAGGCCGTATATGGGGTGATAAGGGAGAAACTGGAATGTCACAAGTGTAGTAGCAACCTGGAGACAAAAACAACAGAAACCTCTGTGGGATGATAATAGTTCATGTCTGTTCCTCAGCTATTTCAAGCAGTCTTTTAAGACTCTTAAATAACAACTGTAATAAAACAATTTGTACAAGATCTTGAAAGTCATAATAACGAAAGCGGCCCCACGTGGGCTCTCTGGGTTTCTTACCCGTGCTACATGTGTTTTTGTTCCCCAGCAATGCAAGTCAGCCCATTGCTTAATAAATGCTGGCTTGAATATAGGTCATCCCACAAGTTCAGACCTGCATTTCTTTGAAGTCTAGTTAGATGCTGGTGACCTTTGTGATGATCATAGTAGTGATGGGAATTTTTAATGGCGTTTTACCCTTTTTAACTCCTTTCCGCATCACTGCAGGTCATCACTTATACTTTTGATCCTCCCAAAAAGTATTACCAGAGTTCTCCTAGAGCTGCACAGGGCCTGTGCCCCTGACTTCCTAGGGTGATTGCTACATCTAGTAACCCAGGCTCATATCCACTGTCTTCGTTTCTTCTTTCTTTGTAAGAAAGAAGAGAGTTCCTCGCACGAGTTATCGTTGGCTTGGCCTTTTTGCCAAAGCAAAGTAAAACTAAACTCAGTTGATTTTGCCTGGGAATCCTCGGGGCCCTTAGAGATGAAAACTTCTTTGAACTTTGAGGAACTGCTACTTTGCAAGTGATATCTGAGAGATCTGTAACCCAGGCCAGCGGGAACTAAAAGTCGGCCACCACAAACGTACGAAGCCGATTTGTGGCCACCGTTTATGTCATCGCGTACACAGTTTTGTGAATAGCAGAGCACAAAAGCGAGTAAACAACAAAACAAGCTAAGATGGCGTCTGACGGCCTTGAAAGAGCCTCGCAGTCGTGTCCCTCCCTAAAGAGGCCCCTCCCCTCCCTGGCTCGTTGAGTGACTGTGGGTTGCAGCCAATAGCGTCCCGGGCCTGCTCCCCACTTCGCCCAGGCGCCAATCACCGGGAGACAGAGGGCAAGGGGGCGGTGCCTCCCCGCGTGCGCGCGCCAGCCGGGTACACGGGCCGGCGCCGCCGATTCCTCGGTGTCCCGCGCGCCCGCCTGGGCCTCCCCGAGTGCCGCGGTACGGTCGCGCGGGGCACACGCGGTGGGGCACCCGTAGGGCTGCTCAAGCGGGACTCCCGAGTCAGTTCTCCGGGCGAGTGCCACCGTGAGCCCTCAAGCTGATCCTCCGCGTTCTTGACCACGTAGTCTACCCACGGTGACCCAGCGAGGTCCCCGACCGCGCCTCGGGCCGCTCTGCGCTCCGCCGCCCTCCCCGGGGCTCCCCGGGCGCGTCGTGTGGTCGGGCGCAGGGGCGAGTCGCCCTGCCCCTGCGGCCTCGAGACAGTGGCCGATCTCTGGGGGCCTGCGTCGCCGCCGCCGCCGCCGCCCGGCCAGGAGCTGAGTCACACCGTCTCATCGGAAGTGGTTCCGCTGTCCCCGGTGTCCACCTTGTCACCTCTGACTAATATTTAATCAACTAACATTTACCAAGAGCTCGCCGGCACAAAAGAGAGTCCTAGGAGCTAGTTTCTCACTTTTCAGTTTTTCCAGAAATGCAGTTGCGGTAAGGATCCTGTACGTTAGGTACATTTGTAGGAAACCTGAAACTGAACATGCGCACTTTAGGAAACGTAAATAAAAAGGACTGTGCTGTGCTGGGTCTAAAATTCTTGCCCTACTATGCAAATCTACTAGGAATTTTCGAATTACATGGAATCCTTTTGTTTAAGACCCCATCCTGCCCTCTGGATCTTTTTTAACCCCTCTGGATCTATAGTTTGGGTTTCTTTTTTAACCCCCTCCCAAAATAAGGTCTTGGAATTTTTGCAGATCATTAGACAAGTCACTCTTTTAAAATATAGGAAAATAATATTTTGTGGTATTTGCTTGCCTGCTCCTGTGTGATGAGGAGCTCTCATAGAAATAAATTTTGACCTCACCTTTTGACAGGTGAGCCATTTTGCACCTTGAGGAGGAGCAGGGCTGACCAACACAGCAGGCACTTTAAGTGGCTGTTTTCCTTATTTATTTCTTGAAATGAAGATTATTTTATGAATTGCTATGCTTTCAGTAATCACTTTTAAGGAAGTCTATTGCTAGCATGACCCTGAATGAGTCAAGGGCCCATTATAAAAACATATATCATTTGAGTAATACCATATCATACACATCTATTAAATAGTGAGAAAACTTTTATTTTTCATTGTTTGGAGGTGAACTCAGTCATGCAGAAAATTCAAACTCAGAATGGGGAGAAAGCAAGCAAGAGAACTGCCAAGAGTATGATATATTTAGTCCTAACAAAAATGTGACTCAGAAGGAAAGGGATAGTTAAAATTATGGACAGTCTCACCCTGAACTGTCTGTCTAAAGGAGATGAATTTTCTTTCTTTTTAATCTAAATATTTATGAAAAAAGATAAAAAGTATTGAAAAGTACATTTTCTAGGTTCATTTAACATGTATTTAAATTAGACCGATACTGAAAGGAACCCCAAATGCATGTGTCTTATGTAAACCTAAGTCTGACATTTACTGTCATGTTGTGTTAGTAACTCATCATAAGATTGAAAATCTTTTTCTTAACACTCAATTCTAAAAGTTGATAGCATTTTGTAAAATACATACATTATTCTACAGCGGTCAATCTTAGTTTTTCCTTTTTAAAATTTTTTGAACAAAAATATGAACGCTTGGTTTTAAAATGAATTATCTAGCAATCTGAAATTGCAAAAGTTGAGAGTGTTAATACTTAACAATAATGATATAGACATTGCTTGGATTATTTACTAGTATTAACCACTGCTTTGCCAAACATTTCATGGATTATTGAATTATACAGTTACACATTTTGAAAAGCAAAATAAAGATATCAGAATAAAGTCTAGTATGACAATAATGTTGGCAGAATTAAGTGGGCTATAGAGCCTTAAGCCAGTAATAGAAAAAGGCAAGAGTAATTTACTTATTTACTTATTTTTTGAGTCTGAGTCTCACTCTGTCACCCAGGCTGGAGTGCAGTTGCACGCTCATGGCCACCGCAGTCTCAACCTGCTGAAGGGGATCCTTCTGCCTCAGACTTCCAAGTAGTTAGGACTACAGGCATGCGCTACCACACCTGGCTAATTTTTAAATTATTTATTGTAGAGATGAGGTCTCACCAATTTGCCCAGGCTGGTCTAGAACTCATGGGCTCAGGCAATCCTCTTGCCTCCGCCTCCCAAAGTGCAGGGATTATAGGCATGTGCCACCGCACCTGGCCTAGGCAAGAGCAATTATATCAGGTCTGTATTGTCTGGGTGACAGAGTGAGACTCCAGCTTAAAAAAAGAAAAAAAGAACTTTTGTAACAACAGATAATATAGTGGTGCTTATAATAAAATTCTATTATCA